GGCCAGTATGAAACATTACGTCATTAAAATGCGTAAAACATTTATTGATAAATATAAAACGCAATAAGTGATTTTAAAAGACATGAGTATACGCACAGCCAGTCCCCCAACCACAAGTCTGCATGTATCCATACTCATACTTGCTAACATGCAAACATGCATTCTCAACCACTTAACCTATTTACACAATCATCTCACTACATCCACGCCATCCGTTGTATCCCCACGCAAACATCGTATTCATCTTTACCCACCATATCCGTACAACCATCACAACCACGTCTTCGTCAACCCTCATGGATCCATGTGCATGCTTACATGCTCCATCCTCCCACTATTCCCAAACATAAGTCGAACTATAACCATAGCCGTCATCATGTATCCATAATCACATATAAACATACACCCTTCTACCATTCCCTTGATAACTATAACTATAACCATAGCCGTCATCATGTGTCCGTATTCACATACATATATACACCCTTCTACCATTCCCTTGATAACTATAACTATAACCATAGCCGTCATCATGTATCCGTGTTCACATACATATATACACCCTTCTACCATTCCCTTGATAACTATAACTATAACTAAAACCATAGCCGTCATCATGTGTCCGTATTCGTGCTCACATGCATAAACCCTTCTACCATTTCCTTAATAACTATAACTATAACTATAACCATAGCCGTCAGCATGTATCTGTATTCGAGCCCACATACATACACCCTTCTACCGTTCCCTTAATAACTATAACTATAACTAAATTCATAGCCGTCATCATGTATCCATATCCGTGCTCACATACATACACCCTTCTACGATTCTCTTAATAACTATAACTATAACTAAAACAATAGCCGTCTGCATGTATCCGTATTCACATACATACACCCTTCTACCATTCCCTTAATAACTATAACTATAACTAAAACAATAGTGATCTGCATGTATCCGTATTCACATACATACACCCTTCTACCATTCCTTTAATAACTATAACTATAACTATAACCATAGCCGTCATCATGTATCCGTATTATTTATGCTCACATACATACACCCTTCTACCATTCCCTTAATAACTATAACTATAACTATAACCATAGCCATCATCATGTATCCGTATTCGTGCTCACATATATACACCCTTCTACCATTCCCTTAATAACTATAACTATAACTATAACTTAAACCATAGCCGTCCTCATGTATCCGTATTCACATACATACACCCTTCTACCATTCCCTTAATAACTATGACTATAACTAAAACCATAGCCGTTTTCATGTATCCGTATTCACATACATACACCCTTCTACCATTCCCTTAATAACTATAACTATAACTAAAACCATAGCCGTCATCATGTTTCCGTATTCGTGCTCACATACATACACCCTTCTACCATTCCTTTAATAACTATAATAATAACTATAACCATACTGCCTGTATGTCCTAAAGCTAATTTTACCTCAGTCATTCCAAAGAACGCTTAGCCCATGAGTCAGTGATGTTACCATTAGTGCCTATCTATGTAAAACCGTCAACATTAAGGGCGTCGATCTTCCGAATATGTCGCATTCAAGATCTTGCAAAACATATTCACTAGTTCTTTGGTCGAAGATTCTCACTGTGACCATCCACCTGCATTCCAGGATTCAAGCCTCACTTGCCCTTATTCCCTGGTTGCTACGAAACGTTTTCCGTGGAAACGCAACTGTTTACCGTGTCCAAGTTCGTTAAACATGGTTTGCACATTCCAGCATGAGGTAAAGTCCTCTCTAGAGAGTGCGTGATCCAGATGCACCTTTGAATAGCCTTTACTGACGTGCATATTCTTCTTACTCAACATCAACTTTCTCTTATGCTCGACTGTCTCCTGTGTCGTTAATTGTTGCTCGGATGTCTGCGTTAGTTACACTGTTATCAACACATTCGTTAGAGAGATTGTCACAATCAATATTACAACAACCATAAGGAGTAGTATAATTTTCAACTTCGTGTACGTCTGTTTTTTTTTGCTTTTTAGCAAAAGAGAGAGAGCGTGTGTATAGTAATAAATGTTGGACTGTTGGATACAACATAAAACAAATAAAGAAAATTCATCTTGGGCGGGATGGTAACTTGAGGTGAATAAGCATGTTAACTTTGCACTTGTTAACGTAGAAAATATCGCGCATGAACGTAGTTATAACTGACATGCTAACTGCAGCTTCTTGTGAGCAGTCGCGCTGTTGGAATTATTTGATTAAGTGTAATAAAGTTGCAAGCAGGACGGTGTTTTGGGAGGGAATAGCATATGAATGATAATAATAATAATCCTCTATAAGTAGCAAGTGATTCCCAGGTACATGGGGGCCTTTCCGTGGTGTCGGGCCGGGAAGTCGAAAATCTATTTACCAGTAGTACCGGAAAGGCGAATGGAGGGGTAAAGGACTGGGGACCGGGAAGGCGAATGAAAAGATCAGTGATGTGTACCCTCGTTATGTATACAACGGACACTTATACATTGAGGACACTGGGGTGTTGTGAGACGGACAAGTGAAGAAAGAGATAAAAAAAATTGAACTCAAAGAATGTGATTACTAACTTCCATTGAACTCGTTAGACGGAAAAATAAAGAAAGAGATAATCTACTAAAATTGTTAATATTGAACTCAGAGAATGTGATTACTAACTTCCATTGAACTCAGATTAAGTAATCTAGTAAAGAAACGATGAAGCTATAACAACATGCGGGAATCAGTTAATCTCTACTACTATATCTTGTATTGAGAAGATGAGACTTTAACGCAAAAGTTGTTTGAATTGTGAGTAGGATGTCTCTTTGTTCTGAAACCCAAGTTAGAAGTATATAATATTTTTATATGTACAAGATCATTAACGTTCAAAACGATGGCTAATGCACAGGTATGTTTGATTTTCATCGACGTGGCGGCAAGCATCTTTACTACAGTGGTCATAAGTATCGTTTTAACAAGAAGACTGGTGAGAAGACTTATTGGAAGTGTGTCACCAGCCATTGCAAGGCCAAACTCATCACCTCCGATGATGTCCTTCAGTCACAAGGACAGGCACACAACCATGTAGAACAGCCCTTCATCATGCACGTTGATGCCTTCAAATCGAAACTAGTTCATCGTACCAAGACCGAGATGACTCCTATACCCAGGATCTACGATGATGAGATCGCCAACCTGAGGAAGAACCATGACGTTGTACCTGATGGTGTGCTGGCTGAGATCCCGACCTTGGCAGCGATGAAGACTATCCTTTACCACCAGCGTCACAAGACTGTTCCACGCCTGCCTCAAAGTAGACTACACGTCAACTTAGAAGGAGAGTGGACCCGTACTCAAGGAGGAGAGAGATTTCTTCATACGGTACCTATGTCAGAAGGCGAAGACCCTATCCTTATCTTCACTACTGACAAGAACCTAGAACTGTTGTGTGAAGCAGACATTGTGTATGCAGATGGCACTTTCTCGTCTTCTCCGAAGCTGTTCGACCAAGTGTACACCATTCATGCTGAGTTTCAAGAGCATATGTTCCCTCTTGTGTTCTGTCTTCGACCAAACAAGGCAGAGTGTACTTACGTGAGAGACACAACTTAGGTTTTGACTGGACTCCCCGGGTGTTTCAGCTAGACTTTGAGCACGCTGCCCACAACGCCGTTCAATCTGTGTTCGCAACTACACATACTAGAGGCTGCTTCTTTCACTTTACCCAGTGTATGTGGCGACGCGTACAAAAGGAAGGACTGACAACAGAATACACTAGCGTTGAAGAAGTGAAGAAGGTTGTTAGACGAGCTTCTGCCCTTCCCTTGGTGCCACTAAACATGGTTGAAGACGTGTGGGCTGATGCGATTGCAGACAGTCCTCAAGGCGTCAAGGTGACGCGCTTCATGGACTATGTTACCACTACATGGGTAGAACGATCTTGGAGCAAGGACCTGTGGAATCAATTTGGAAACCAGGGACGCAGAACAAACAACACCCTTGAAGGATGGCATCATCATCTGAACAAGAGCGCCCAGAAGACTCACCCTAACATCTTCGAGGTAGTGAATCTTCTGAAACGTGAACAATCTCTAACAGAAGTGAGGGTTGAGCAGCTAGGCGCTCACCCAAGAGCACCTGCTCGGAAGAGAAAATACCGAGTGATTGACTCTAGACTACGTGCCTTGAAAGAAGATCTGTTGAACCAATTGACAACAACAATGGACTACACTGACGATGTGGCAGATCTACTGCACTGGGAATGAACTGAATTATTACATAAATGATAAAGTGTATGTCTATATACATCTTCAAATACATGCATGATATATGATATGTTATACTATACTTGTTATATATTGAATTTGTTGTCCAGATTAAATAGTGTCCTCATTTCATTGGTGTTTTCTTTGTAATTAACAAGCAATCTGCCATAATAAGAATTTTTGTGATGACCGGGAAGGCGAACGTAATTTCTAACTCTGAGGGATTGATTTTCGCCTTCCCGGGCCATACCAGGAATATCCACAGAGCATATTAAATGTGGATCCACCTGATCGAAGTGTGTCATCAAACCAGTTATATTTTTTGTCTTTGATTGACTGTGGCGTTTAACATTCAATAATTCATTTACTTGGTTAGGGAACATCATTTTCATCTCAATTGGAATGGACTGTCACGGAGTTGTGCTCTTTATGTAAGAAAACAGTAAAGAAAAACGGGGTGTAACACCAGAGTCAGTCAGAACAAGATTGAAAACTGACCCGTTATTATGTATGACAGACTAGTGGGGTAGCGGTGCATGTATATGTGAACCTTAAAACTATTAATAAACAGTTTCCTCAATTCAAAGCAATATCGGGAAAAATATATGCATATCATATCTGTCAATGTACTCCAAGTTCACCTTCTACAAAAAGCAGTTGTGGAAGCCGGCAATTTATTCAGGTTTATATTGGTTTGCGTATGTGATGATTATATAACTTGCGTAAGTTTTTATCCTTTTCCTATACTCAGCTGTTCCTGAGCCTTGCGCTCTCCTAAATATTGTGACTAAAATGCTTACCGTTATCATTGCACTAATTAATATAAAATGCCTGCCGATCAAGTACATGTCATAAATAAAAGCGAGATTGTACGACTCCGACCTTATCATGAGATTGTGTTTATTAATCACTGTCAAATAGTGGTGACCTAAAATCTAGAAAACAATAAGCAAAATCGCACATGCACTGAACGGAAAATTTGAACAAGGCACTAAACAATCGCACGGGCAGAACGATTCAATTCAGCACTTCAATTAAGAGCTACGAGTACAGATTCAACCTCCGGCCTGTAATATGACACGTGAGAACTGAGCATGGATTTCAAAGGTAGAATACCGGTAGACGCAGCTGCTTGATGATATCGTTCTCGCCTAGTAAATTCCGATGACAAATAACAACATTATTTGGCCGGAAAAACGATGGTTTGAAAGCGTGACCATGACTATGTACGGACAGAAACGACGTTTTCGTCTTTGCAGTGTAACTTTGAGCTTCTTATAACTCGAAAAACACTAAGACTCGAATACTCGAGGCATGCGTACAACATATGTATCAAGTCCATATTGCGTGACGTTGTAATTCTAAAATATAATTCAAGAATATCTGAGCTTTAACAAAGTTGACCCCAGGGCCGTAGTGCACGCCATCCACACTCCTCACTCCTTTAGTCATGTTGAACGTATCAAACACGGGTATATTGAACCCTCCCACCAGGTCCTCCATATATCTGTTGAAGAGTTCAGCGTGTTCATTGTCTGAAGTTGATACAACTTGTCTATGCCAGAGACCGAAATAATGAAAACCTGACCATATCAACTTTGGCCAGGTTTCATTCTTAAGTGAGGTGATTACAGCCATTGAATATTTCTTCATAGCTCGGCGATCAAATTGCTGCCATGAGCCAGCGCCAAAAAAGATAATAGACTTTGGTTTTCCAAGAACCAGTTTGACATCTTGCCTCATCTTAGGAACGTCGTTACTCTGTGGATAATGACGGAAAAGCACTGTTACCGTCCCGTTGCAGAGTTTCGGAGTGTAGTCCAAATACGCTCGACAGTTACGGGTTGGAAAAACATACACCCCAGAACATTTTTTCTTAATGTCTGTAAAAAAAAATATATGTATCAGAACGACTTCTTTTGCTAGGATTATTTAGCTGTTACTCAGTTTATTCCTCCTAACACAAGCTTGATTTAATAAGAATGAAATATTAAAATCACTTTGTTGGTTGCTTCCCATCCAAATGGTTGATGATATATGTAGAAATATTGTACGTTCTAATTCATCAATTATAAGTACAGGCACCATGGAGGTACAATATCGTTTCTCCTTATTTATGATTGAATCATTGAAAAGAAAATCGGTTTACATACCTGCAGGTGCATCGGGTGGAAGTCCGCCATATTGATTGTCTCCCTTGAGTATGATGATGAGGGCAAGAAACACCATTCTGACAATGGAGTCCCCATAGAAGTGATAGGTGCCTCCCCGGAGGAGCTCACAGGCAGCGTTGGGTGAGAAGGTTTTCACTTGACATCTGACAAGAACAGATCCTGATTATTCAGTATTATGGAACATCATGGTTCCCTAATGTCCATTTCTAGTTGTAGACAAATGCTAAAATGTTAAAATGACTGGTCTTCAGTTAATCCATGTAAAGTTTAAACAAAATGTTTCTTATCAGTGTGTGACAGGGATTTCTAGTGGATATGGAAAGTGTTTTTATTTTCGCTTGTATTTGTTTAGACGTTTACACCTGCTCGTAATATAATCAGAATGGTACACTGGATTTTCTTAAAATTATAGAAATGGTTTTGTCGCTGATGTTTTAATTGAAATTTAAAGCGAATAAAAACAAAACAACCAAACATTTCCATAATCACAGGGAATCTATACTAAAAAGAGTCCATTGAACGTTTCCGACTAAATCATTAACACGTTTTGATGATTCCCTATCAAATAGCGATGATCCCAGGTGCACAACAAGCAAAGGTACATGGTCATATGGTACAAGTCAAACTATGGAACTGCAACGGACCTTGCATTCTTGTCACTGATGCATCAAATAGTCTTCACACGTCTACCGATGCCTCCAAAGGTGTTACGGTTTCAAACATAAATTGGATGACGTTATTTTTCAGAGGGGATTATCTACTGTGTTGTTCCTGTTAGATGCAACACAGATACAAGCGATGGCGGGACGATCGTAACCAAAGACGGAGAAATATTACAAACGATATTGGGAGAAAAGGTTAAGGTTATCGATATGAGGATTGTGAGCATATGTGATAAGTATCCACCAGTGCATAAAATGGACTTCTCTGACATAGCCGAGGTCGGATTCAATTGAGGGAGTCATCATTATTAAAATGCAGGTAAATATGTGTAAATCTTGAACATTTTAGTAACATCCTTATAGAGGCTGTACATAATGTTGACAATCAATGTAAGAAATAAACAAATGTATATACACTCTTCAAAAAAAGAAACGCACAGGTCGATTTTTGTAAATTTGTTGTACCTAATAAAGTCAATATATTTAATATAATATCATAGATACAAATATTAAATTTTGGGGCTCGACGTTGTCGTTGCACAAAGGCATTAAAACATGTTCATTGTTATGTCACATAAGGCAACAAGGTTGCGCTGAACTCAGTATCACGACTCTGCATCTCCTTGACATTGACTGGATAAGCCTACGAATTCTGACCTGCGAAATTCTGCGCGATACTGCTGGTAACGCACTGGCCAGTTGTGGGAGTGTCTGTGGCGTATTCTGACGTTGACATACGTGTCGATCGAGTTCATCCCAGAGGTGTTCGATTGGGTTGAGATCCGGAGATCTCGACGGACAGGGCAAACTGCTGATGTTGGGATTATAAAGGGAATCTACCGTGACACATCTGTGTGCGGTTGAAACAGCTGAAACAGCTGGCGGTCAATGACTGGAATAAGGTGAGGTTGAAGAATTTGATTCATGTAGCGATTTGCTGTCAAATTTTCCCGACAATTAAGTCAGATCTCGTGGTGCAGGATATGGCTCCGCAGGATATGTGTGTATCGGTCCCAAAGGTGGGAAATGGTGCTGCGATGGACGTTAAAGTGGCGTGCAACAGAAGACCGCGATTCCCATCTTTGGATACGTTCCATGACGATGTTCCAAGCGGCAGTGCTGAGTCTTTGCATTTTAGAACTTGAAACATGTTGACAATTGAATGACAAACTATATGCTTGCTGTTGTATAGCGTCTACCACGAGTTACGAATATCATAACTTGCTCGTGCATTTTGCTTTACTGTTTTCCTCCCTGACATTTTTTAACAAGTGTGAAAACAATGCCGTTTAAGACATTTCAAATCGACAATAGCTGCGTTTTGACACACCGTTTGTCGAATACCAGGCTGCCAACATTTTCCAAAAAACATATAATATCCAATTGATATACCGGAATTTTTGTGTCGTTAGGTTCAATGAACTGCATACTACCAGTGCGTTTCTTTTTCTGAAGAGTATGTATTGTAAGGTTAGTTATTTCTGCTATATCACCTGCTATCGTTAGGAATCCATTTCGAATATTCAGCATGTAACTGAGGTCGAAGGTCATAGCAGTCTGTACAGACACATTCTTCAACTGTTTTCATCTGACACGTGTTGTTATAACAACAAGGGTTACTTCCCCTTGGGTTACATAATGCCCTTGTCCAGTCTGCCATTCTCTCACTTGACTTCCATGGATAGTAGCCTAGGTTCCCGCATCTTTTGTCCGTCAGTTCGAAATTATTACTTCCGTTTACAGCGTAGAGACCTTGTAGTAAAAAGGCTTCAATCTCATCTTCCTCTTTCTGTGTGATAGGACGTGTTGCCCACGAACCAGCCACCATATATTCGAGTACACTTGGACATGTACCATGTTTGTAGTAGGTTTCTATCGCTGGCAGATAAAATGTCCCTGGCTTGTGAGTCCTGGCTACCGTCAATAAGATGATTATTCCTACAGTTGCCAGGACAAAGACAGCACGCTTGAATTCACCTTTGAGGAAATCCTTCTCCATTCTGATTGCAGTCTGAAAGGAAAAGTAGCATATTACCGTTGTCCATAGGATTCCAATTCACACGTTATTGTACATCTTAATGTAATTACAGAGCTATTGGTAACTCGGGCCAGACGTAGACCATAGAGTAAGAAGTGAGACACCAGCCTTTGTGTAGATATAGCCCTGAGACCTGCCGCTGATTCTTTCTCAATGGGCAGGTGCATCAAAAGTAGGTTACTCTGAATATTGCCTAACATTTACTACTACTACTACTACTACTACTACTACTACTACTACTACTACTACCACTACTTCTTCTACAACTTCTACTACTACTGCTACTGCTACTACTACTACTACTACTACTGATACTACAACTTCTTCTACTACTACTGCTACTACTACTACTTATATTACTATGTCTACTTCTTCTACTGCCACTGCTGCTACTGCTTCTACTACTATATTACTACTACTACTACAACTGCTCCTGCTACTACTGCTATTACTTCTACTAATACTTTATTCTATTACTACTACTACTACTACTTTACTACTACTGCTCTGGCTACTGATACTGCTACTGTCACTGGTTCTACTACTATTACTACTACTACTACTACTACTACTACTACCTCTTCTATTACTACTACTACTACTCTATTTTCTACTTATACTACTAGTATTCCTGAAATAGTGTTTGTTTCAGAAACAATATGCTCTACTTAAATGCTGAAATTGAAGGGTCAACTTTGAGTTTTATCTGCGTCAGTCCGCGAGAGAGGGTAGAAAAGAGAATGATGGTAGCGGGCATTGCCCCATTGGCTTTGAATTATCAGTAAAGCCAGAGACATTACTGCATCATCAAGTCACCATGCAAACTTGGAATATATAAAAAATAAATTTTTATTAACTTTGCATTGATTTGTCTGCATATTAACTTCAATTAAACTTGGAGTCAGTGTATACCAAGTAGGACAATAGAATATCTTTAGTATTTTGGTTTGTTGGTAATTGGAGTAAATTTGAGGTGGTCAAGCCACTTTGCTTTACATTTTTCTACAACCGGTTATTTATATTTTAATTCGGAATACAGATACCTAGAAATGATCACGGGTAAATGCAGGTTGACGTTGTGTCACGACTATGTTGCTATTGACCACTGGATAACTATTTAGACGATCGGGTCAGTAGAGAGTATATAGTGAAGGTGAACCGCGAGTTGGTGAAGGCAGCGTCAATGAACAAATTAGATTCCGGCCCAATAATAGTTGCGGGCGTTGCCCCATTGGCTTTGAAAGGTGTTTTTGTAGCACTGACTGGACAATTATTTTGTCATTAACTCACCTGGTTAGTTCTGAATAACCTACACCTGTTTTAGCGCCTTGATAGTGAGTGGACGTTCTTGAGTGAGTGAGTGAGTATGGTTTTACGCCGCTTTTAGCAATATTCCAGCAATATCACGGCAGGGGACACCAGAAATGGGCTTCACACATTGTACCCATGTCGGGAATCGAACCCGAGTCTTCGGCGTGACGAGCGAACGCTTTAACCACTAGGCTACCCGACCGCCCTGAACGTTCTTGAACATGGCCTTAGTGGGCGGTATCAAGTAAACAGAAAATGATTGATCAGTACAATTGCATTAGTTTTCTCTGTCCTGGTGTATTGCAAATGACTTACCTTGAATAAGTAGTGTTTCCAAAATTCACGTCAATTGATATGCTGATCCTTCAACAATCTATCTACCTCAGTCTCACTCAGCAGTGTATGCTTCGTGATTGTGTTCTTTTAATGGCTTTACCAACAACGCGGGTAATGGGGTTGTATGGTAGCGGGTATGGAGCACATATACAAGCACATTGCAGCACACATCCACATTGTTTTAAGACAGTCAACGTAAGCTTATAACTACGCTTCACAGTCACAAGTCATACAGAAGTGCACCAGAAAAAGGAAATGATTTATATGACCATGAAAGCGGTCAATTTCGCTCGTAGGCCGCTCACAGAGGAAATAAACCTGCACGTAGCTCACTGAGATATCAATCGGAACACATTAGGTAACTTGGTTACCTCGCAAAATATGGTTGAGTTTCTGAAATGAACCGGTGTTTATCCGAGTCTATTGCGTAACATGTGGAAAATCGCTACGCGGTTTTCTCATCAATACATTTGCTGCGAGTTTTGCTGAATCAGGACAGATATGAATGAATGTTGTTGAGAAACAAATAATCGTCAGCCAATCACTCTGGGCATATTGCATGTGAGCTCATGCACATATAATCGGCTCCATGATACACACACATCCCTTGAGATTAGTTACAAACGTTAAACATTTTAGAAAGAAGCAAATCTCAAACTGATTACATCAGATAAAGGAGGCGCTGTCAGTTCGGCATGTTAAGCTACGAAACGCATCGAGTATCATAACAAAGAAAACATACAAAGCTTCATGTAGTTTAGTGAGCATAACACTGCATAGATATTCTGCCTGATCTGGTAAATGGTTACCTATACCTAGACACCAGGGCCGAAGGTGTGAGTGAGTGGGTTTGGTTTAACGCTGATTTGAACAAGTCTCACACACTTACCAGTTTGAAATCCAAAAGCACCGGTATGGGGCTGACAAACCCTGAAACGTAATCGGGGCGAACCAGGATTCGAACCTACAACCATTGGTTTCTGGCGTGTCCACGGGATGCAACACTGCACAGGTAATTCCGGCGCCTTGGTTGACCACCCTGGGCCACCCTGACACAAAACACAGTGTGGACCCCGTCTTCAAGACGGTAGTTGTTGTTTTAATCGCCACAGAGACTTACGTTTAGTTGGCTCATACTCACGCTATTTCACTGATGAAGTTGATTTATTGCATGACTTGATTGTATTTGTACTGACTGAGCATCTCAGTTGTCTAGCGGATAGACTGTACATGTCAGTCTTCATGATGGAAATTCGATACAACATATATATATCAATCACACTTTCACACACACCATATGTATTACCTTGCGTTTTGGTTGCTCTGCTGTGAGTTAGCACGCAAAACGACTTAGACCAAATATATATGCATCGCACAGTGAGCAGGGTCATGCAACAGATCTCAATCTTTCTGATTATCAGATAGCTTTGCGCTGTACACTCTACTGTAGCCGATCCCACAGCACAGTCTCTGTGTTCACGTCTCACTTTACCCCACGCAGTGACACGGAACAATGGTACAGTGGAGGTGCTCACAAAGAAACCGTCAAACAGAAACGGTGGCCTTTGTATATCCGGATGGGAATGGGAATTGGAGTTTTATTTTGAGCAATTCTCCTTGATCAATCTAGATTCGACAAACGTGTGTAGATCGGTTACAATGACACAACAAATACCTGATTAATGGACAGCTTCGACATTGAAAATGTTCGCGTAAGCTTCTGAGTCATTCTTTGCTTCTCTTTTCCTTTTCTTGTTTAGACTAAGTTCCTACCCATCCATTCTTTGTAACTAAATAAACGGCTATTTGGTATATCTTGCTTGCAACTAAGATTGTCCAAATCCGATATAATTGTCTGTAATCTCAGCAAGGGATATTCTCTTTTTCTATGTGACCAGATGATGACGTCCTTAATGACAATGCAAAGAAAAAGTATGTGACTTGATGCTGTATTATGGTGCCAATAGTACAGTTATATCCGACAACCAGGCAGATCGAACTGCGTTAAAACATGGTAGCCATCAGCAAGTATATGATACGGCGATCTTCTCTGTCCTTGAATGCCCACAGACAGAAAACCATCTTATAAGATTATCTCCTCTGGCCTTGAATCCCTACAGACAGGAAACATGTGATACGGCAATCTCTTCTGCCCCTGAATCCCTACAGACCGAAAATCATGTCATATGGCGATCTCTTCTGTCCTTGAATCCCTACAATCCCCCGCGACTGTGATCACCAGTACAATGGAGAAACTCAAAGAACATCGGACCTCTGTTAACAAACTCGACCTGGCATCCGCTATTTCCGAACACATCCTGAAGAACCCAAACCATACTTATGGTCACGATGTCTGGATTGTCGGGTCCAGACTAGATGAATAACAGACCGACGTCACATAGATGGATTATTGCTCTGTGTGTCGATAAAAAACAATCAAACAAACAAACCAGCCTATGAGAAATTTTTGGAAAACTGCCCTACCGACAACACTGTGCCCAGGTCAATTTGTCAAAAATGTAAGCAAATGCCATCCACCGTTTACTGAGAAAACAACAAGTCGAATGCTGGACTTCCCAATTGTTAACATAAATGTATAAGTGAGGGGCGCGACATCCTGATGTGCACCTTCTTGTGGACCTTCTCAAGCGATTGCTATTTGTCGTTTTGAACGTGGTTTGTCAGTCCTTTTGTTTACCATGTTTAACCTGTCATTTTAGAAAACAAAGAATATATTGTAGTTCGGAATCCCCTTTGGGCTTATACAAGTTGGTCAGTAATTTGTTATGTGTCGATTCTCAAATTGAAACAATATGTTAATCCAGAAATTTGTAGGGAAAATAACTTGGTGTGCAAGCAACAAACAACCAACAGGTGGCACACATTCAACAAATGTATTACATAATTCATTAAATTCACAAATCAATACATTTGATGTACAGCAATTACAATGGCAGTAAACAATAGAGTGGTGGTTTTGCATTCAATTTCAACATATAATATGAAGGCAGTGGTCAGTGTCAAATACAAAAATAAAGTGGTGAAAGCAAAAGTTTCAGAGATGGGCTAGGCAGGGAATCAGGGATGATGAGCGATCCTCACATGAAAACTAGTCTAAAATGATGAACAAGCGCGAAACCAAATGTGCGAGAGACCAATTGTGTGAGAGACCAAATTGGTATCAGACACGCAAACAAGCAACTGTCTTCATACATATCGTCCAACTCACTTACGAGACCACAGACAAGTCCATACCAGTCCACGGTATGCCGGAAGTTTACACACCACACGAGTATCTACATGTAAATATAGTAACTTCCTGAAAACAGCTAAGGTTAACTAGTACCACATTCCTGAAGACTGCCCCAAACCATACAATGAGCGTTCCCTGAATGTCAGCAGAAACAACATAACACATCTATAATCATTACTAAACAATAAAGTACACAGTGCCATATAACAATACGAAATGGAATTTCTGATCGGAATTACAATTCCCTCCCACGGGTTTATAAACCTGAACGAGAAATAAGTTAGACCGCCTCATCTGTTTCATATTCAGACCTATGCATAAAGATTCAGAGTGAAAGACAAACAACACTCTCCACAAGATTGTATGACAAGAGGGATGTTTTCAAATTTCCAATAGTCAACCTTCCCTTTATGTCGAGAAATAGTCCAGCAGTACAAGTCTTTGGTATCCACAGTTCACTTTTTTCAGTTTTTTTCTACCAAAGAACGTCATACCACTCTTGCTCAAAAGTTGCTGCACCATGTAAAGCTGTTAAAAGATGTTAGGCTGGACATGTGGAGGACATATCCAAATGTGCCGCATCAATGTTTTTTCTGGTGAACGGGAAAATGACGGGTCATGGTGGAATAATACGTGGATAATACTGCATGCTCATGATAGACACAAGAAGATGGCCGTACGTGAAGTATATAATGATGAGTTCACACTTTTTTTTCTATTTTGTCACTATTTTCAGGTTATCCTTCATAGAAAGACGACATTTACAGAATCAGGGCTTCCTGTGCAACTATGTCTTTAGCTTTTTTTTATATAGACACACATAATGTAAAATTGCATATGTTGTCCGGCTTCTATATGCCATATTGTGTATGAATATTACAATTATGTAATGCTACGTGGAAATATGCATATGCAAAAGCACGGGAGTTATTTTATTTGATGATACAGCAATCAAGTCAAAGATAATGATATATTCGAGGAGTGGTGATCACGTGTGGATATTGTAGAATATTTGTCAACTTGCATACATATATTGTCTATTTAACAACATTGTTTCATAGTTGCCTCCTTCTGTTTTCATGTGTGTTTCACCAATCGTTGAAAGGTAAATTTTAGAAAGCAGCAAATGTTTGTTAGAAATATTATTGAAATTGACATCGCCTGAGGTTTTGGGAAATGTCTTTTAAAATGTGTGAGGTTCTAATAGCCACAACAAGGATCTACTGTATAAAATAATCATTGATAAATATTAAGCAATAAACTACATTTAATCAGTGATTGTTTATCTTGAAGAAGCACATCCTTGGCAATGTTGTTTTACAAAGTAATTTCTGTCTGGTGTCGATTGGATTACACTACTACAAGTATACAACCTTTGTCATTGCGGCTTTCCAGAGGTGCTGCAGTTGTTTACAGAAACATATGTTCTGCAGAAACAAATACTCGCCTAAAGCGGGAGTGTGCTATGATTTTGATACAAAATAGAACAACATTAATGCCCAATTGTTTTAACAATAGGAGCTACACAACGCCTGTCAAACACTTAAGGTAAATAGCATGATTCTACATTTCTAACCATGTAGGGTCTCTCCACAATCTCTTGTAGTAGTAATATATGTGTTCAAAGTTAATAGAATTGCCACAAGAATATCACATATTTCTACATAAATAGAAATGACAAAACATAATCTGTATAAAATCTCCTCTTGAATGTATGCTCTTCAGAATGTAATACTAAAGACATCAGTAGACGCAAATACTGTTTGACAATAACACATATTTCCAATTTGATTAACAGGATCGGGTGGTCAGGCTCCCTGACTTGGTTGATGCATGTCATCGATCCCAATTGCGTGGGTCGATGCTCATGATGTCAATAACTGGATTGTCTTGTCATGACTCGTTTATTTACAGACCATCGTCCTAAAGCTGGAATATTGCTGAATGCGGCGTTAGACAACACCCAACCAACCTTCCATTTTGCTACTGGACGGAAACCTGTTGAACATATGTATATATAAGTGTGTCAGTCCATACTGATACAGCATTTAATGTACAATAAACCTTTTTTATAGTTTTCAGTGTAGAGTGTGTTCCTGTACACACATGATGCCACTTTTCATTCTTACGAAGGGCGTCATAAGTTCCTTCCTAGGAGTCACTGTCTTGTCTTGTTTTCTTTCTAGTTATTTTATGATTTGTCTGCTCCCGAACTTAAGCGCGAGAGTAAAGGCATCGTCTCCCGTGTTGTCTCCCAAGTCAGATATGTGCCTTTATTGTATTTGAGTACTGCAGCTTGCTGGTGTAGAGCTGCCGTCATTGCAGGTGTCACGCCAATACTGTCCTTTGAGTTGATATCAAAATAATCAATGACATATTTCAACATTATAAGTTGTCCGTGATGACGAGCAAGATGTAAAAAATTATGTCAGTCTTTGTCGTCGAGAGTACGGTCAGCACTGCAGGACACCAAGTATCTGTACACGGCAATGTGACCTCAACGGACTGCTCTCGCCAGAGGAGTCTCGCCATTCGATCCTCTCGCGTTGATGTCAAAGTTGTCAATAACATCCTCTGCAGTGGTCTCATTAGAGCCTAAGGGAAACTTTCCGGTTTTTATTCAGATGATACACATCTGATCTCATTTCTGCCTTCATAAGGGCATTCCATGGTGTGACGTTCCTCTCTGACTCTCTACCTGATGACAGTTTTTCTATGATTTGCTTGCAGTCTACTTTAAGGGCAAGATTTAAGGCATCATCGCCTTCATTGTCAACTAGTGACAAATCTGCGTTTCTACTTTGCAGGTCCTCAAATACTGCAACTTTACCATACAGTACTGATGTCATGATGCATGTTAAACCGGCCTTGTCTTTAGTGTTTATATCAAACCTGTCTGAGATGTGTTTCACAACATCGAGGTGACCATATTTACAAGCAAGATGTAGAAGAGTGAGCCCATCATTGTCCACCAGAGTATGGTCAGCTGAACGAGACATCAGGAACTTCAGCACACTAATGTGGCCTCCAATAACAGCCCTCATCAGAGGTGTGGAACCATTCCTTCCCCTGGTGTTGATGTCAAAGATGTCAATGACCTTCCTTACTATGGCCTTGTTACCACCTTGACAAGCTGCATGAAGAACATTATCATTTTGCGGAGTAGTCAGGGATGGAATACCCCCGTTTGATGCAAGCAGATCATAAGCATCCATCTTTCCACTGACAGCTGCCATCATGATTGGCGTCCACCCGTCTTCTCCAGGACCATTAACGTCAAACAGTGGCAAGAGGTACTTTATGATGAAACGGTTTCCCCCCTGACAGGCAAGATGCAGTAAATTGTTCCTGGTGTGATCAAGCAGATTTAACTCATCTTGTTGTGATACAAGCAGACTGAACACATCCTTCTGACCAGCCCTAGCTGCATGCATTACTGGTGTCAAGCCATTCTGTCCCTTCTCATTAATGTCCAATATCTTCAGAAGATATTCTACAATGGCTGTGTTCCCTCCTTGACATGCACAATGTAGAACAGTATCAGTGTAGGCATCTATCAGTTTCAGGTCAGCTTCCTTTGACACCAGAAAGTCAAAGACATGTCTTTTTCCTGCCAAAGCTACCTCCATTATTGCTGTTCTCTCCACGTGACCCCGACTGTTGATCTCATTCTTTGGAAGTAAATATTCCACAATGTACATATTTCCACCTGTACAAGCTAAATTAAATACAGAATTGTTGTAGTCATCTTTCAGGGAAATATCAGCCCCATTTGAGACAAGCGGGTCAAACGCCCTCCTTCGTCCATTGACAGCTGCATACATCACAGCCGTCCTACCATCCTGTCCCCGACTGTTGAGGTCAAACAGTGGAAGCAGATGCTCTATGATCAACCTGTTGCCTCCCCGACATGCAAGGTGGAGGATGTCGTTACCGTGGTCGTCAGTCATGGTGAGATCCACTTCCTTTGAAACAAGCAAGTTGAAAAGATGTCTGTTTCCAAACCGAGCTGCAATCATCACTGGTGTGCAACCATTCCTTCCCCGGGTATTGATGTCAAGCCTTTGAAGAATGCACTGAACAATAGTCTTGTCTCCGCCCTTACATGCGAAATGTAACACATTGTCTCTATAGTCATCTATCACTTTCAGATCGGAGTTCTTTGAGACCAGAAAATTAAAAACACTCTTCTGTCGAGCATAAGCTGCCTTCATGATTGCTGTTCTCCCATTGTCATCCACACTGCTGATGTCAACATTTGGAAATAGTTGTTCCACAATTGAACTATTTCCACCTAGACATGCTAAATGAAATACAGAGTTGTTGTAGTCATCCTTTAGTGAAACATCAGCCTTGTTTGAGACAAGCAGGTCAAATACACTTCTCAGTCCATTGACAGCTGCATACATCACAGCCGTTCTTCCATCCTGTCCCCGACTGTTGATGTCAAACAGTGGAAGCAGATGTTTTATGATGAACCTGTTTCCTCCCTGACATGCAAGGTGAAGAATGTTGTTATTGTTGTCGTCAGTCAGCCTGATATCTACCTGTTTTGAAACAAGCAGGTTGAAAGGATCTAATTTTCCAAACCGAGCTGCGACCATGACCGGGGTCCAGCCATTCCTTCCTCGAGTATTGAGGTCAACTCTTGTCAGGAGATGTTCCACAATGGCTGCGTCCCCTCCCTCGCAGGCAAAATGAAGCACCGTGTCATTGTTGTCGTCAGTCAGTTTAAGATCAATGTCCTGTGACACAAGAAATTTAAAAATATGACTGTGGCCTGTCCAGGCAGCATTCATAATTGCAGTTCTCCCGTGGTCACCCCGACTGTTGATGTCAGAAGTTGGCAGAAGATCTTCCACAATAGATATATTTCCACCTAAACTTGCTAAATGAAATACAGAATTGCTGTAGTCATCCTTTAGGGATGAATCAGCCTCCTTTGACACAAGCAGGTCAAACACGTCTTTTAATCCATTGCCAGCTGCATACATTACTGGCGTCCATCCATTATTTCCACAAGCATTGATATCAAACATTGACAGTACATATTTCACAATTGAGACATGTCCACCATGGCATGCAAGATGAAGGATATTGTTCTTGTTGTCATCTTTCGGGTAAAGATCAGCCTTTGCTTTCACAAGCAGGTCAAATGCATGCGCTGCTCCATTGACAGCTGCCTTCATTGCAGGTGTCCAACTATGATTTCCTTGTACATCCCAGTCAATCTTTGTCAGCAGTGTGTTGGGTACATCATCAAGGAGGCATGCCAAGTGAAGGAGGCTGTTGTTGTCATCATCAGTCAAAGATGTGTCTGAATTGTGTGACATGAGAAGGTTGAATATGTCCCTCCTCCCAGACAATAGTGCACACATTATAGGTGTCATGCCATTTTCCCCTTGACAATCTCTATCTGTTAATGGCAACAACGAATTGACAATGGACTCATTTGCATAGATACATGCCAGATGAAGAACTGTGTTATTGTTCCTATCTCGTAATGTTAAATCAGATGTCTTTTTCTTGACAAGATAGTCCAGGAGATCATTCTTTCCAGAGAAAGCTGCACACATAACTGGTGTCATGTCATTCATTCCTCGGCAATTGATATGCCAATCAGTACCTTTCATCATCACTGTTTCAACACATTTCACCATTGACATATCCCCATATTCACAAGCCAAATGGAATAGGTCCTTGTTCACAGTATCACGTAATGTGATATCAGCTTGATGTTTTACGAGAAGTTTCAAAGTATCAATCTGTCCACCAGTAACAGCGAACATAGCTGGCGTCCAGCCATTCACAGCACGTCTATTGATGTCACAGTGAGGGAGAAATCTTTCAATGATGTCATTGTTCCCAGAGAAACAGGCAAAATGGAGAACGCTGTGCATAGAATCAGAAGACATAGTGCCTACATCTTTAAGCATTTGGTACACTTTATCTTCTATGTCTTTCCTTTTCCACATGGGATGCATGATGTACCTACTGAAAGTGCCAGCAACAACGGCTTCAGCCAGCCTGGCAGCAATGGTGTCACTGTAGGCATCTGAGAAATGAATGGCATTCTGTTCTACATGAGCAGCGTTGTGTTGCTGACCATGTACATGCTCACAAATGAACTTTATACTGCAGTTATGAAGGACAAGTTCCGGCTTAGTTTTCAATAACACTGACATGCATGTATCATGTATTAGAGGATGAAATAACGAGACAAGAGTTAAAACACGTTTCAGGTGTGCATCAGATTCAGTCTCCTGTTGCCTGATTTTCACTTCACCGTCACACATTGACTTCAGCAATAATTTTAGGGACTGGTCATCAAGTTGACTTGTGTGCTTATGAAGATCACGTTGAAGATAAAACAGAGACCTTTCAAAAAACGTTTCCTTGAGCCCTTGAAAAGGTACGTGTGTTGAGAAAAGTTTGCATGCCAGAGGGAAACCAACAGTTTCCTCGTATGCAATAATTGTACTCACATCAACGTCAGTTTCACATTTATAGTGACGTTTGTGTATTAACCATATGGCCTTCTTCTCTTCAAGTTTCTTCGATTTAGTCAAGTCTACCACTGAAGAGTTTTGGAAAAATATATGGCCTTCAAGTTTTGACATTGCACATTCAAGGTTGTTGCTATCTGTGGTGAATATAAGATACAGGTTTGGATGGTCGGTCCTCCTCTGTTCCGCTCCTCGTGTTTGCTGGAGACTGTGGTATCTTGTTTCCAACTTGGTTCTCCACTGTTCCAGGTGCCCGTGGAGCTCATAGAGAACTTGTCTCAGGCGATGCACATCCAAAAATCCACCCTTCTGAAATATGTCATCGAATATGGCACACACGCCCTTGCCCTGACCTAGGCAATCAGACAACTGAACAGTCCCAACATCCTCAACCAGTACCAGCTCATACCCCTGCTTCCTGTATTCAGCTCCCAGCATCAGGGCCATGGATGTTTTACCAGATCCTGGAGCACCACTTATTGTCACATGGCCAAACGTCTTCAGCTTCTCTTTCACTAAGTTGAAACTCTCAGTTTCAATGAATAGATCTTTGATATCCTTCATCTGGTATAGCAGATCTGTTTAGGTAAAACAAACAGATATAAATTATATATCCTTGCGGGATGATGAATCTTGAGAAAAACATATTTCCTAAAGAAAATTGTCTTCGTTTGAAATGTATCCAAATGGACTAACTCAGAAATTGAATGGTCACATTTGTCTAATAATAAAATGGTGAATGTGCGACGAGTAAATATCTACCATCAAGCAATTTGTTTACTGCCTTCAAAATATCAGGCAATATGTATATCGGCTGATTCAAACAAAATGAGACTGGATTTTAGACAGATTGACTGAAATGAATTAGACTCTTTAATGAATTATCCTCAATTTAATTTGAATATATATTCATCTTTCGAAGATAGAAGTCACTTTACTGTACATGAACCCAGTTCATACCTTTTGGTAGTTTATCTCCGTCTGAATGGCTCATCTCCTGAATCTCCTCGTCCCTTGGCGATGCTGTCAGAACAATAAACTCAATGGATTCACTGTGCATATCTGAAGCTTGTGGGTTGCAGCATTACTCATTTGAATATAACGTCTGTGTTGAAGATTACCTTGTCTATGTTCCATAAAGCTAAGAATTTGAATAGACTGAAACAATTGCGTCTATTGTATAACAACGTATACAGTTGAGTGAGTGAGTATGGTTTTACGCCGCCTTTAGCAATATTCAAGTTATATCATGGCGGGGAACATCAGAAATGGGCTTCACACATTGTACCCATGTCGGTAATCGAACCTGGGTCTTGGGCGTTCGCTCTAACGCTCTTACCACCAGGCTACCCGACCGCCCCACACAACGTATACAAAAGAGAGTAACAATGTCACTTTTTAGTACTCCACACTCATTAATTAACCCCAACAATACTAAAAAGATCAGAGTGTACTCACTGCACTGACCTGCTTCAGGCTGCAGATCAATCAAGCGCACTGGAACATATTTTACGTTATATATTATTTTACTATCAAATGAAACATTCCAAACAAATAAGCCAAAGGTTTTGACAACATTATGATTATTTTGTAATGGAGTGGGAGCAGTTTTCTGGGGTACATTTACATCAGTTTTATTTTTGCTCTTTGCACATGATTCGACTTCAATTTCAGACACTATAAAAGACAAATTGTAGTTTTTTGTCAGAAAGGTGGGCGGCTGAATAATGGTTTGCGAATCGACAACTTATGGAAGTCACACAAGGGTATAAATATTTAGGTGGGTTTTTTTTAGCAGCAGGCTGTCATGGACAGAAGCTTTATGCAATATAGCTGTTCAAGCTAGAGTGGTATTAATCAACTTACTAAAAAACATCAATTTTATTATTAAAAGCCTTATTCTCAAAATACTCTTTTCAGATTATTTGACGCTAGGATATCACTTATGCTATAATAAGGGCATTCCATAAAATGAAAAAACTTGAGAAAGTTTATTTATATGTGTGCAAGTGGTTATAGAATGTTAGACCATATACACCGAGTAGCGTTGTATTGGGTGAATTTGGCAGATTCCACTTACTTCTCAATGCAGCGATGAGAGCAACTAGCTTGAGGCGAGTACTAATAATTGCCTATATTGTTTCATTCAACATAAATTAGTGACATTTTAGTCAGACTTAGCTTGTAATACCCTTTAGGTCAATACTCAGAACTCGATATGCACATGATTTTCATATACTGATATATTGCATTGGTTGGGTGGGGTGTGCGGGGTCTTTTAGAGGTGCTGTTAGGCAACAAACAAGTCCTCTCTTTCTTGTAATTTGTGTTAATGTCGGGTGCTGACGGTATATTAAGACATTAACCTTTGAACGCAAACCTGGCGCCATCTGCCTTGTTGCAGTGGTAATGCGTTAGCAGGTAGATGAAGCGCGCATAAATTAGAGTAACCTCCCTTGGTATATATACTTAGTCAAAACTCCGTCCCACCGAATGACATCCCCCATTTCCTCCCGGTACAAAGAGTGAGTGAGGAGCTTGTTTACATATGTCGTTACACCTGGAAGTGACTACCCGGAGCGAATCGTTTCTGTAAGGTCAGGTGTACCTGTATAAGGACGATTCGAGGGCGATTCAATGTCTCCTTCAACTTCACTTGCGATGTATATCAGAAAACACCGACTTTATTCTGCCTGCTTCCAACACTGTTTACTGTTTACATACCAATTGTATTGCCTTTTCACGACTGTAACCTAACCCTTTGTTGTTCAATATAATTTGTTGATTGTTCATTGATCTTGTGTGGTTATTTACTGATTTCACACAAAAATAAATGTTTGGAATGTACCGTTTTCTGGGTTAACCTTACGTTTCAACCATTTAGGATTCAAGACCTACACATCACTTATTTTCCATTCATATTAATTATTTCATTTTCGGGGTAACATGCTTCAACAGATAACCCGGACTGATTAGTCTCTAAAGTTGGCGTTCAATATTATGTCCAATGGTCGCTACATACGTTTACATAAAAAATGTTTTCAATAAATATACTTTTTATATTCATCTCTGTATTGTCTTTTTCCTTCTTTGGAATATGATTCAAGACTGATTATGGTCTGGTGTTGATGTTAATGATCTTCAGTACCTCAGGGAAATAAATGATACAAGAATAGTGTTCAGGGGACACTACAATCAGCAGTGAGGGCCTTATGTGTTATACGTGGACATTGGATACCCGGCCACCTCTATCTTTATTACTTTTGAATGAGGTATACTTACGACGTTCAGCAGGACTGCAAAGAAAAGAATACATTTGTCTTACAAAGTGTGTCATAGTCAGATGCATATCATTAGAGACAGATATACTTAGAGCATGGATCATAACATCACTTAGCTACAAGATGGTGATTTATTAATCCTGTACCTTTCATTTCTTCAAGGAAGAATTCACTGTCTTGAGGACGCTACACAGTCACATATTTAAACGTTTACAAGATGTATTTAATCATGATTCATATACTGTTCACTGCTGTTTTGTCTTTTATGGCCAGTGGAATGTTTCAGCAGATAATCAAGACTATATATTTACCTGTTATCAGAACGCCCCCTTCTCCGATTTCTGCAAAACATCAGAAGAAAAAAAACAAGTATTGCAAGTAATATTTTGTATTATTTATGGAAGTCCACGCTACATATTGCACTTTTAATACTGACATGGTGTGAGCCACCATGAAATAAGTCCGTTATGAGTGAAAGATCACAATTTGACATCTTTTTCGTTCAAAACTACAGGTTTTTAGGACCATCTAAATACAATTTACAAGTCAAGCAACAATGCATATGTATTGTAGAGATACATAGCATCAAACATATGTATTGTAGAGATACATAGCATCAAACATTTGTATTGCAGAGATATATAGCATCGAACATATGTATTGTAGAGATACATGGCATCAAACATTTGTATTGCAGAGATACATGGCATCAAACATATGCATTGCAGAGATACATGGCATCAAACATATGTATTGCAGAGATACATATCATCAAACATTTGTACTGTAGAGATACATAGCATCAAACATATGTATTGCAGAGATACATGGCATCAAACATATGTATTGCAGAGATACATATCATCAAACATTTGTACTGTAGAGATACATAGCATCAAACATATGTATTGCAGAGATACATATCATCAAACATATGTATTGCAGAGATACATAGCATCGAACATATGTATTGTAGAGATACATGGCATTAAACATTTGTATTGCAGAGATACATGGCATCAAACATATCCATTGCAGAGATACATGGCATCAAACATATGTATTGCAGAGATACATATCATCAAACATTTGTACTGTAGAGATACATAGCATCAAACATATGTATTGCAGAGATACATATCATCAAACATATGTATTACAGAGATACATGGCATCAAACATTTGTATTGCAGAGATACATGGCATCAAACATATGTATTGCAGAGATACATGGCATCAAACATATGCATTGCAGAGATACATGGCATCAAACATATGTATTGCAGAGATACATATCATCAAACATTTGTACTGTAGAGATACATAGCATCAAACATATGTATTGCAGAGATACATGGCATCAAACATATGTATTGCAGAGATACATATCATCAAACATTTGTACTGTAGAGATACATAGCATCAAACATATGTATTGCAGAGATACATATCATCAAACATATGTATTGCAGAGATACATAGCATCGAACATATGTATTGTAGAGATACATGGCATCAAACATTTGTATTGCAGAGATACATGGCATCAAACATATGCATTGCAGAGATACATGGCATCAAACATATGTATTGCAGAGATACATATCATCAAACATTTGTACTGTAGAGATACATAGCATCAAACATATGTATTGCAGAGATACATATCATCAAACATATGTATTGCAGAGATACATGGCATCAAACATTTGTATTGCAGAGATACATGGCATCGAACATATGTATTGCAGAGATACATGGCATCAAACATATGTATTGCAGAGATACATAGCATGAATCATATGTATTGCAGAGATACATGGCATCAAACATATGCATTGCAGAGATACATGGCATCAAACATATGTATTGCAGATATACATGGCATCAAACATTTGTATTGCAGAGATACATAGCATCAAACATATGTATTGCAGAGATACATGGCATCAAACATTTGTATTGCAGAGATACATAGCATCAAACATTTGCATTGCAGAGATACATAGCATCAAACATATGTATTGCAGAGATACATGTCATCAAACATATGTATTGCAGAGATACATGGCATCAAACATATGTATTGCAGAGATACATGGCATCAAACATATGTATTGCAGAGATACATGTCATCAAACATATGTATTGCAGAGATACATGGCATCAAACATATGTATTGCAGAGATACATGGCATCAAACATATGTATTGCAGAGATACATGGCATCAAACATATGTAGTGTGGAGATACATGGCATCAAACATATGTATTGTAGAGATACATGGCATCAAACATATGTATTGTAGAGATACATGGCATCAAACATATGTATTGTAGAGATACATGGCATCAAACATTTGCATTGCAGAGATACATGGCATCAAACATTTGCATTGCAGAGATACATAGCATCAAACATTTGCATTGCAGAGATACATAGCATCAAACATATGTATTGCAGAGATACATGTCATCAAACATATGTATTGCAGAGATACATGGCATCAAACATATGTAGTGTGGAGATACATGGCATCAAACATATGTATTGTAGAGATACATGGCATCAAACATATGTATTGTAGAGATACATGGCATCAAACATATGTATTGTAGAGATACATGGCATCAAACATTTGCATTGCAGAGATACATGGCATCAAACATATGCATTGCAGAGATACATAGCATCAAACATTTGTATTGTAGAGATACATAGCATCAAACATTTGTATCGTAGAGATACATAGCATCAAACATTTGTACTGTAGATATACATAGCATCAAACATTTGTATTGCAGAGATACATAACATCAAACATTTGTATTGCAGAGATACATGGCATCAAACATTTGTATTGCAGAGATACCTGGCATCAAACATTTGTATTGCATAGATACATGGCATCAAACATTTGTATTGCAGAGATACATGGCATCAAACATTTGTATTGCAGAGAGACATAGCATCAAACATTTGTATTGCAGAGATACATAGCATCAAACATTTGAACTGATTTCCTGCAAAATCCAATTTTCAGTCTTGAAATACTAACTGTTGTTATAATTTAGATATAGTGACTGATTATTCGCGTTCTGAAATGTTTTTAAATAATGTTTTTATTATATCACTAACGAACAAGAGAAACATAATATATGTCTGTACAGTCCTGAGACTTGGTGATTTTTACGAAAGTAAGTTGACGTCAAACGTCTTTCATTATGACGTCATAGCAAAATTATATCCTTCCTTACCTTTTCTCCTGGGGGTCACATATGTATATTCAAAATATTTCCCAATAAATGCAACATGCACGACGCCTTACACCCTATTGATACTGCGTAAAATGTCAGCAAGGATGAGTATTGTTTCATTTCATTCAACAGTGACACTCTGAATCATACCCGTGTTGAGTAAAACATACACTTACAGTCTGAGCACCACCACAGCAAGGATGATAGCGACGACGATGATGACGATGAACACTGGGATAAGAATCGCAGCAAGATTCGTGGGTTGTGTTGTGGTGGTGTCGATAGGACCGTTCGTGGTTGAGTCAATAGGACCTTTCGTAGATGCGTCTACTAAAATATGTTTTCAAAACCAAGAATAATAATACACTTTCACAATGTAACGAACAATAGTTTAGATTTATATGTAAGTGTGTTTTCAAAATCACAACGTTTCTTTGCAAAGACATGTGAAGATCCAGGTAGTGTGCTGGTCTTCAGCAACCCATGCTTGTCGTATCAGGCGACTGTGGTTGTCGTGTGAGGCGACTTACAGGATCGGATGGTCAGGCTCAGCTGACTTGATTGCTGCATATCATCGTATCCCAATTGCGAGGATTGATGGTCCAGACTCGATTATTTACATACCGATGTCATATAGCGGGAATATTGCTGAGTGTGGAGTTAAAGAACAACTAACAAACAAACTTTGCAAAGGCAACCATGACTATTTTAAAGGCAAATACATATGTAGCATGCTTTAACCTAAACGCACGTGTGTGTGTGTGTGTGTGTGTGTGTGTGTGCGCGTGCGTGCGTGCGTGCGTGCGTGCGTGCGTGAGTTCATATGTTACGTCATAAGTGCAGTGTTGCTGTCTCACAGGGACGAGAACAGATATGTCCCTATATCTGACAATATGTAGCTATAAAACCATGAGCAATATATGTGGCCCACCAGGAGTTTAGGGATCCTATGAGTGAAAGATCACATTTCCACTTTCCATTATAGTTTAAAACTACAGATATGTTTGCAAAAAACAATTCACAAGCTTCAATTCATATTTATGGCAGAGAAACATGACATCAAACATTTGAACTCATGTTCCGATATATAACTGTTTATGTAATAATTGCAGTTTTAGGACAAAGTGTCTGATGAACTGAAAGTAGACCTGTATGCTGACATGTTTTGAAATAATCTTTTCTATTACATTACGAACTGTCGGGAGTGACACTCAAGAACGTTGACGTCAAACGTCTTTATGACGTCAAATCACAGTTGTACCAAAGCTCCGATAAGGTCCATTCTCCTGGGGGGTCGCATATCATGCATATATTAGAAAACATACTGAGGCAAAAACGAAAGGCAATAAACAACAGAATTTATAGTTGAAATACGCCATGTGCCAGCAACAAACACAACTTGGCATCCTATTATCTTTATGCCAAGTATATTTTGATTTGGATCAGAATTTCAGGCTACTGTGCAGGATAAATACAATTTATTAAATACACTACTTTAACATACTGAATGAAGTATTTTGCTTATAGGGTTAGAACAATATTACGACGCAAATAAAGTCAATCAAGATCAACATCAATCATAATGGAACTGAATAAATTGAAAATCAAACCTTGTCCAATGTTACAATAGTCGCCTCTATTGTCTCCACTACAACCAAACGTGCAGATGCCATTTTGCCGATTACAGATGTTTCTCAGGCAGTTCTTGCTGCAGGCTTGATCACAGAGGTCCTCAAACCACCCCGGAACACACCCCTCCGAGCACTTCCCTGTCACCTTGTGGCAGTGCCTGATGTTTCTCTCTGGATTGACGAGACAGTTGGAAGGGCAGTCTTTGCTGCAGTTTTCTCCATATTTTCCCCAAGTGCAGCTGTCTTGTCCGTGTGCTGTAAGTAGTGAAAAGTTGAAATAGAAATAAAAGTGTCAGACCACATTGACAATCACGTTATAGTTATGAAGTGTATACAATAGAGCAGTGTCTGGAGTCAACATTTGAAAAAAGTATACCGGAGGTATATCAGGATGTACTTGTGATCAACGGAAAGCTTGGAATATCTAATCAGGCATGAACATGTCTTAGGAGCTGTTTCCATTATTTAGAGTTAGTGAGTTGGGTTTAACGCCGTTTTTAACAGTATTCCAGTTATATCGCGGCTTGTCAGCTTAATGTGGGAGGAAAGACCAAAGTGATGTAGGTCTGAGACGTTTACCATTTCGGTGAAACCCACGAGCACGGGTATGGTGCTGACACACCTTGAAACATACTTTGGGCGAACCATAGGTGTCTGGCGTGCTCACGGGACGCAACTCGCGGAGCCTTAGACGACTGCCCACCCCCCACCCACCCCAAATTATTCAGAAGGAACACAACAGCTTCATATACATGGATAATTCTTTACCATGAATATGTATTTTTTTTAAAACGTAAATGTGTGTGATGCTTCTAGTACTGTTCCTTCAATCAAATAAATATCAATTGTCAAAGCAGGGTTATGGTTAGTTCAAAACGTATTGAAAGCATAACATTACTATGCCTTCATTTAGCTATGTGTTTATTGTTAAGTAAACGTTATGATTTCCTATTGGAGGAAATAGTGCACAGTTGAGAGAAATTATTGCTCCCTTTCCACAATAGCTGACAATAGCAGACGACAGTAGTACATAAACACGTACACATACACACAAACACGCGCACGCACGCACGCACGCACGCACGCACGCACGCACGCACGCACGCGCGCGCGCACACACACACACACACACACACACACACACACACACACACACACACACACACACACACACACACACACACACACACACACACACACACACACTACCTACCCTCACAAACAGAACCCTTTGCGAATTGTCTATGGCATTGGAACTAATTTGTTTGTTTATATGGACAGAGGTGTTAGTCTGTGGTACATGTTGTGACTCTGCCTGATGCTTAGTATTAAGATGATAAAACAAGGTCTGGTGTGTTGTATTTATATGGACAGAGGTGTTAGTCTGTGGTACATGTTGTTACTCTGCCTGGCACTTAGCATTAAGATGATAAAACAAGGTCTGGTGTGTTGTATTTATATGGACAGAGGTGTTAGTCTGTGGTACATGTTGTGACTCTGCCTGGCACTTAGTATTAAGATGATAAAACAAGGTCTGGTGTGTTGTATTTATATGGACAGAGGTGTTAGTCTGTGGTACATGTTGTGACTCTGCCTGGCACTTAGTATTAAGATGATAAAACAAGGTCTGGTGTGTTGTATTTATATGGACAGAGGTGTTAGTCTGTGGTACATGTTGTGACTCTGCCTGGCACTTAGCATTAAGATGATAAAACAAGGTCTGGTGTGTTGTATTTATATGGACAGAGGTGTTAGTCTGTGGTACATGTTGTGACTCTGCCTGGCACTTAGTATTAAGATGATAAAACAAGGTCTGGTGTGTTGTATTATATAGACAGAGGTGTTAGTCTGTGGTACATGTTGTGACTCTGCCTGGCACTTAGTATTAAGATGATAAAACAAGGTCTGGTGTGTTGTATTTATATGGACAGAGGTGTTAGTCTGTGGTACATGTTGTGACTCTGCCTGGCACTTAGTATTAAGATGATAAAACAAGGTCTGGTGTGTTGTATTTATATGGACAGAGGTGTTAGTCTGTGGTACATGCTGTGACTCTGCCTGGCACTTAGTATTAAGATGATAAAACAAGGTCTGGTGTGTTGTATTATATAGACAGAGGTGTTAGTCTGTGGTACATGTTGTGACTCTGCCTGGCACTTAGTATTAAGATGATAAAACAAGGTCTGGTGTGTTGTATTTATATGGACAGAGGTGTTAGTCTGTGGTACATGTTGTGACTCTGCCTGGCACTTAGTATTAAGATGATAAAACAAGGTCTGGTGTGTTGTATTATATAGACAGAGGTGTTAGTCTGTGGTACATGTTGTGACTCTGCCTGGCACTTAGTATTAAGATGATAAAACAAGGTCTGGTGTGTTGTATTTATATGGACAGAGGGGTTAGTCTGTGGTACATGTTGTCACTCTGCCTGATGCTTAGCATTAAGATGATAAAACAAGGTCTGGTGTGTTGTATTATATAGACAGAGGTGTTAGTCCGTGGTACATGTTGTGACTCTGCCTGGCACTTAGCATTAAGATGATAAAACAAGGTCTGGTGTGTTGTATTTATATGGACAGATGGTGTTAGTCTGTGGTACATGTTGTGACTCTGCCTGGCACTTAGCATTAAGATGATAAAACAAGGCCTGGTGTGTTGTATTTATGTGGACAGAGGTGTTAGTCTGTGGTACATGTTGTTACTCTGATGGGCACTTAGCATTAAGATGATAAAACAAGGTCTGGTGTGTTGTATTTATATGGACAGAGGTGTTAGTCCGTGGTACATGTTGTTACTCTGCCTTGCGCTTAGCATTAAGATGATAAAACAAGGTCTGGTTTGTTGTATTTATATGGACAGAGGTGTAAGTCTGTGGTACATGTTGTTACTCTGCATGGGGCTTAGCATTAAGATGATAAAACAAGGTCTGGTGTGTTGTATTTATATGGACAGAGGTGTTAGTCTGTGGTTCAAGTTGTTACTCTGCCTGGCACTTAGCATTAAGATGATAAAACAAGGTCTGGTGTGTTGTATTTATATGGACAGAGGGGTTAGTCTGTGGTACATGTTGTTACTCTGCCTGGGGTTTAGCATTAAGATGATAAAACAAGGTCTGGTCGACTCAGAGACAGTGTGTCTGATTGTTGTGTCAATGTTAAATTCTTACATGGCATCTATGATACCGACATTAGTTCCGACTAGTGCAATGATCCACACGCATATACACGCAAACACAACGCACACACACACACACGCAAACACAACATACAAACACACACACACGCACACACACGCACACACGCACACACTAACATACACATTCACAAACACACACACATACTAGTGTACAAACTTACACAAACATACACACACACATACATACACGCATATACATAAACACACACACACGCACACACACACGCACACACATGTACACTAACATACACATTCATAAACACACGCGCATATAAAAACACACACATACACCCACACACACTACCTACCTTCACAAACAGAACCCTTCGCGAATTGTTAAAGGCATTAAAACTAATTTGTTTGTTTTTTAGAAAATATAAGATTGACCATCATACAACACATCACACGTGGGTGGAATGGACTTGGCAACTGTGCATGTTTGCCAAAGGTAACAGAAACAAGCAGCAAGTGGCGGCATGAGCGACTGTGTATTCAATATGTGCATGGTGGTGTCGAAGAGGTGGGGTGAGGTGAAATCTGGTTTAACGTCGCGTCCAAGATTATTGCTCTTATACAACAACGTGCATGCACGCGTGTGTGTGTTTGTGTGTGTGTGTGTGTGTGTTGCTGCTTGTACTTTAATGCCGATTTACAGTGCTAGCTCATTGAGATACCATGCCGCAGTTTAACATGAATACTGCACTCCGAGCCGACCTGTCCTTGTTTTAGTATCTTTATGCCGAGCGCCAGACAGGGTAACAACACATAACATATTTTAACGTATTTTGGTATGACGCGGCCGGGGATCGACACCCGAACCTTCTGCTCTCCGGGCGGACGCTCTACCACAAGACCACGGAGGCGGTCAGGTGGCGACTAAGTACGTGGCATGGTGGTGTCAACATATAACAGCGCTAGGTTATAAAGAAGTTCACCACACCGTATACAACCCTAATGCTCAAACAGCCTTGTATCATTTCAGTACTCACTGACTATCAGCAGAGTTTGGTAGAGGACAAGCACGGCTCGAGGGGCATCCATCTTGGAGCGCCTGCAAATAAAAATATATAGTTGTCATATTTAGCTGGTATATTCTTTTGCATAATATATTAATTACTCCAAAGTCGAACCAAAATGTATGATTCAACATGTCAAAGAATAAGGCAGGAACCTGCTGTATTAAATCACCAAGTTAAATGTGACATACTAACGTGTCTGCTACAGGATACCACATCGACTTTGATGTGACTGTACTAACACCGACCTGGATGTGACTGTACTAACACCGACTTAGATGTGACTGTACTAACACCGACCTAGATGTGACTGTACTAAAACCGACCTAGATGTGACTGTACTAACATCGACCTAGATGTGACTCTACTTACAACGACCTAGATGTGACTATACTAACACCGACCTAGATGTGACTGTACTTACACCATCCTAGATGTGACTGAACTAACACCGACCTTGATGTGACTGTTCTAAACACCGACCTAGATGTGACTGTCCTAACACCGACCTAGATGTGAATGTACTAACACCATCCTAGATGTAACTGCAGCTAAATTAAGTAAAGTCAGTATTCTCCACCTATATTTTACTCTATCATATCAAGTTATCATATTTTGTAAATGAGAGTGAGAGTGTATGTGCGGGATCATACATGCCCGATATCGGTTTCACGTGAAAGGCACATAGGTGTTAAATTTTCTCTATAACTTTCTTTGGGAGTGCTTTCAGCTTCTGCTCCAGTTTCGGCGATTAATTAGATGGAACTAACTACTTTTATATCAATGTACTCTTTGGTCGTTTGATCTTTTTTCGAAATACTCTGACACTTACGTCAGTTGATATGGGATAAAGATATAATTCCCAACGGTGTGAATAATCATAAAATATTGTTTAAAATTCCCGAACCAATAAGCATTAAAAAAAAGATTAAAACATTATATTTATTTGGGGAATATCGTTTAGGGGAACAGTTAATAACATAAACTTAGCGAATGCTCCCTAACCATGATTTATGCCTGTAACATTTGTTTATTATATTCACACTTGTTAATGACATACATTCATATTACCGTGTAATATATATCTAATATTTTTCATCAGCTTGCTTACAACCAATTTGAATATCTATTTTAAAATTGCTTTTCTATTTGCAGTTATTCCCTTTTAGCTAAATAATGCAATCAGCTGTATGTATGGTCTGCGTTAACAGCAATAGCTGTTACAAGGGAGGCAACTCTATGTGTTAAATGCCTGCAGTGAACACTCAATTGTAGCGAGGAGGACATTTTTTATACGTCTATGTCAGCATGGAGAGAAGAATGGAATCCGTTTGGTGTTCCTTGCTATTCCAGGCATCTGTCTGTGAGAAAGATCCAGACCGATGGAGGGAAATTGGTTACAAAAACAAATTTAGCATTCACTCATTTATTGCATTCTTCATCATCACATTGGAGATTTAACTTGCGCTTTCCGGCCTTTAGCGTATGGCGCACACGGGGCTGCGCTTATACTATTGGGGAAAAAGCGTAAAGAATAAATAAAGAAGTGCAACCCCCCAAAATATAAAATGTTACGGCCTAATCTAATAAAAAGCTAAGGGGGAGGGGTTTGGCTGGGTAGGGGTGGGGATTAAAAGAATATGATAATATGGAAAGTAGGGCTTGGGTTGGAGGGATGGGGGTCAAGCGGTTGAAGGCACGGCGTCGTCTGGCGAGCGTGTGTGGCATTCTTTGTAAAATAAAACCCCGATGACTCATTACCATTGCATAACAATTACGAAGCACTATACAATTTGACCAGATTACATATTTGGGCAATATGTTTGGCAGACTGGATGCGCAGAAACTGACAAACTCTGTTCATGGATTTGCAAGCGTGAAACGCTTGTGTGTGTTTTATTCCGGGGGCCTCAGGTATTTTATTCACAACACATGCCGGATGTACTTTTCTACGTTTGTAAGGAAATATTTGGTTCACAAGTCTCGAGAGTCCTGAAATTAATTTATCGGTTTGAAATGAAGATAGAAAAGGTTAATATTCGCAGCCACACACATCGTATAACGACATGTTTGTATATAAAAAAGTTAAACTGATATAAATAAGGATGTAATTTATAAAATAAAACAAAAATGAGGATGTAATTTATAAAATAAAACAAAAATGTATGTGTTTTTGCTTTTGGAATGGTTTACAGATATATGTAACTGTGAAAACAATGTGTTGACATCTGATTGATCGCGTTCACTCGATAGATCTACCTCCCTGATGTTAAGACTCTTTTGACTAACCACGGCTCATATTTATATGCACGATCGCTGTCTGGTCACTGAGCGAAACTTAACATTTTCACCGATGTCTGGAGAACACAACAGAGAAGCAGTCTGCAAGGGAGCTCTCCATTGTGACGTTAGGTCACGTGATGACAACTCTCGTGGTCGCCGTTTGTGACCAACTGGTGTTATTCCGGGACAAGCCGAATAGCGACTCGCCCGTGGCTATTTGTGCGACCTGGTTCCCTTTAAGAGCAAACGGGCTAAAGAATTGTCAACTCGATGTGTGATGATTCACGTACATTTCCAAATATATTATATATATTTTAGATGCAATTTAAAACACACCAGGACATGCAGTATTACACAGTATGATTGAACACATTTAACAGTATCTTGGGTATAGGTTTCGATGCAAGACATGCGTAAAATATAATATTATTCCTTTACGGAAAGGGGCGAGTGGTGACGAACCATCGCAATTGGTATTATACAATTATTTTGAGATATTTAAGCCACAGGTCACATTACTCATTTTGATATAAAAAATAGCCTTACTACAGACTATGGTGTAGTATATTATAGCGTGTTTGGAAATGATCGAACTGATTGGTATAATATATTTTGTTTTATTTACACCATTTTTACGCCACAAACACGTAACACTACACATTGTTATATAAAGAAACATCCTTGAACGGAAAAAGGACAACTGCAGAATGTTCATATTGCTTTGTATATATATATATATAGAAAGCACAGTAAAGTTCCAACTCTCAGGCACAAAAGAAAAATAATTAAATAAGTGGACATGAAGCAGTACCATATAGTTACGTGAGTCACGTAACTATATCTTAATACTTTATGTCCTCTATTCAGTTATTGCCTGATGAGACTCGTACGTGGTCCGAGTTGAAAGCGCTAGCCAATTAAAACTGTGTTCAGTCTTACTCCACTTATTTCATTATTACTATATCTAATTTAATATAAATAAAAGGTATGTGAAAATCCTCATCGTCACCCCACAATTGGTGTTACAATTTATTTTTTTTATTTGTATTTTATTTAATTTACAGGCATGGCACTCTTATGCATTATTATGAAAAAAAAAACCTTGCGCATTTTTCATATAAGTTTACACAGGGAGCGAACATTGATCTGGGAAAGGGACAACTGCTGACAGTTCTCATTTCCTTGTATATATACGGTGTTCCTAAATCATTGCCGCTACCCCTATATTTGGAATAATATCATTATTATTTTTAGTATGAACATCCTTGCGTATTTTCAATATCAATTTAACGGGAGGCGAACGATTGCATTGGACAACTCCAAACCGTTCAGATTGCCTTTTATCGGGTGTGGGAAAATCATCGCCCCTAACCCTACTATTGGAATTATAAAATAATCATTTTGAATATATAAGTGACGGAAACATCCTTGTGTACAAACTACTTATAATGTCTTGTATATAGCGTGTTGGAAAATCACCCCCCACAATAAGTTTAATACAATTATGTTAAACTATTTATGCTTTTGACAGGTCACTCTTAGACATTATCAATTTAATAAATGGAAAACTATAAAATGAAGCCAACAATGCTCAATGTCACAGTCGAAGTAAAAACAATATTTTCATTAAAGGTTATTTCACATTACTGTAAGTTTTCTTCTATAGTTGGTGAAACATACATATTCACGGATACCATCTTCCATGTTTGGTTGATGCTACTAACATAACTACATACGACAGTGTTTATGTGTAAGGGAAATAGGGTGGGAAAAACAAAGCAAGGCACAAAGTGAGCAGGGATCACTAATACCCCCGACCTTCACTTCAACATCTGCTGGGGAACAATCTACATATTGGAGATATATTGATGCCTTAACGTGTCAGCTGATTTTTCTTACAAAGCACAATGATATAACATAGCAATGGCATGATTCAAAGACGCAGTGGTGCATCAGCGGCAAGCTTTGCCGGATACAGTACACTTGACATGGGTTTGTCACCGGATTTCCTTTCAGGTCGGAAGTATACAAATAAGTTCAAAACATGAAAAGGCAATATTTTCTCTGAAAATTCATTAACCAAAATCAGTACAAATATTCCAAATAAAGATTAAAAATTGCTGTAACCCAAATATTGAAAAGAAACTTTGCAATGTACCTCTCCTTTTGATAAAGAAAGAGTTCGCCAAGTGTGAGAGTGCTTGAGTATGGTTTTTATGCGCTTTTAGCAATATTCTAGCAATATCACGGCGGGGGACACCATAAATGGGCTTCAAACATTGTACCCATGTCGGGAATCGAATTTGGGTCTTCGGCGTGACGAGCGAACGCTTTAACCACTAGGGTACCCGACCGGCTCGCCAAGTGTGAGAAGAATCTATGCAGTAGTTCAGAAATTATAGATTCCACAAGAAAATGTTGTCGGAAGGGCGGACTGAATTCTCATGGTATCGGTCTTAGAACACAGGGCCTTTCAACACGTTTTTGTCTGAAATTGTGCATGATACACAAAGAAATAAAAACGGGTTGTTTAAGATAATTTAACAGGGTTTGAGCATGATATGGTGCGTTATTTGGAGCCAAATCAGACTGTATACGCAACAATTGTCGACCCTTTATTCATGCAAGGGTCCAAGGGTTATGGAAAGTGTATGGAAAGTGTTGGTGGTAACCTACCTTAACTCTGACACAACTAAACCCATGAAGATCTGGTTAAGTGATGCAGGTCTCAGACGTAAACCACTTCGGTTTAACCCACGAGCACGGGTATGGTCCTGACAAAACAAGAAACATAATCGGGGCGAAACGGGTTTTGAACCCATAAGCCTAAGTTTCTGGCGTCCCCAATGGACGCAGCTCTTCACAGTGGTTAGAATGGGTCTTCCGCAAGCCATGAATGTTGTAATAGGCGACTAACGGGATGAGGTGGTCAGGCTCGTTGACTTGATTGATGCATGTCATAGTATTCCATTTGCGTAGATCGATGCTCTTATCCAAACCGCTGGAATACCGATGAGTGCTTTGTTTAAAAACAAACGAATCTGACAAAACTAACCCTAAGGATCAAAAAGGCACGCGTAAATATAATAATATGCATTTTCCGATACTATAAAATAAATGCCTTGAGTCAAATCGATTTTCATTATACTACTGGGTGGTGAACATATTCTGCATTCGCCCGGCTGACACTACCACAATAAAAGTGACCATAACCCACCTGAGTGACCTCCTGACAGTAAATGCGTAAACAGATCCACCATGAGAGTCCACTACACTAAATCAGAACCCGTTGTGACAGTGCGGTTTCAGCCGTCAGTGCAGATCGAGAGATATCTATCTGCAGGCTGTGAATGGATGATATTGTGTAAGATTTGATGTTTCTTAAATGTACATCCATCCAGTTATTGAAACTGGCCATGTTTATCCTATATTTAGTTCTGTCTTTTTCAACATGATGACATATTCTCAATGTGACCACAGGTATGTTCAAGTAGGTGACATTTGGTGCGGAACTGTGGGTGATGTGTTTAGCTATGCATGTCATTTTCTTTATTGCTGCTCTGAGGCTAAACTGTGCACACTTGTACAAGTAATAGCTGTTGAATGCTTTATTATTATTTTTAAAACATAACGTTACTATAGAATTCAATGGGAAATAATTTGGTTGTGTGTTACCATGACAGTAGCATTTCACGCAAATAATCAATTGGAAAGAGTCGCGTCCCTTGCAAAGAGGCATACCACTCGATAAAAATAGCCTTTATCTGGGGCAGAGACTGATGTGACCAACTCTCATTAGGTTCCGGAATATGAGTCGATTTTAACACTGCTTTGTTAATGATATGGCATTCAGAAATATTTGTTTTATCAATATACTTGTTCTCATATTCTTATTAAATGCCTTAATCTACTATTTCGACGGTACACTTCCTTTGAGGAAAGTATTGCTGTATAATGCGTCGCTAAAAATAAATATATCCCCGGCTTTGGGGGAAGCCCCAGACTTCAACGAGAGCAGAGTCTCACATATGGCAATGAGCTTTATATTACTTTATTCTACTGTTTTCTGGTATGATATAATGACAGCGTGACTTTGAACAAAGAATGTGTTATGTTCTCCTATATCACTTGGGTATAAGGACAGCATCAATGAACGGCATGGCGGCTGCCAGTGAGTACATACCAAGCAGCTGGCGACTGCGCATGCACCGAGAACATCAACACAAAGACAGAACATGAGGCAATCTGGTACATTACACTGGCCACTTACCGTACAACGCAGAAACTACTGCTACAGTCAAGACTACATTGTTAATCCCGATGTGGATTCCCGTCTCTCTCGGTTAATGATCCGATATCTGCACATGTGTGTGTCTCTGCTTTGTGTTGTTAATGCATTAGGTGCATAGCTATATAGGTCAACCGAGGCCTGCGCATGTCGTAGGAAGCGACATCATAGACCGGGTAGTTAGGCTGGATTGGATCGAAGATCATGACGTCAGCCACTGGAATTCTTTTTAGCTTAATCTAATGTTTTAAGTGTGACGTTGAGCAACAAACAAGTAATAGTGTTGTGTTGTCTGCTGCTTCCTATTTAATCATGTGTTTTACAACCTCATTGCATGAACAGTGGGTGAGGTGAGGTGAAATAGGGTTTAACGTCGCGTCCAAGATTATTGCACTTATATAGCGACGTGCATGTACGTGTGTGTTTGTGTGGCTGATTGTACTAGTCCGGACTGATGCCGATTTATAGTGCTAGCTCACTGAGATACCATGCCGCAGTTTAGCATGAATACCCCATTCAGACACAGTATACTGACTCCAAGCCGACCAGTCTTTGTTTTAGCCCCTTAATGCCGAGCGCCAGACAGGGTAACAGCAAGTACCATATTTAACGTCTTTTGGTATGACGCGGCGGGATTCGAACCCCGGACCTTCCACTCACCGAGGGTTGGGGCATTGACACATGCACACAAACACAACACTACCAATACGAGAACAGGACCTGATGTAGCTAAACATAAAGAGTAGGGCACCATGAAATATAAATGTCAAGATCGATCGTCAGAAGAAACATAAATTTTGAAAAAAAATGAATGCAAAATATAGAACGGTTTCGGAACCATAATATAACACTCAACACATGCGAACCATTGCACGTAGATCACTCAGCTCACCCGTGCACGTGGGAAGGAGTCAGTCTTAATTTTCAGATATATCGCTCTGATCCAGGAGTATTGTTGATCCAATCTAATCCAGGAGTATTGATGATCCCATCTTATCCAGGAGTATTGTTGATCCCATCTTATCCAGGAGTATTGTTGAATCGCTCTGATCCAGGAGTATTGTTGATCCCATCTGATCCAGGAGAATTGTTGAATCGCTCTGATCCAGGAGTATTGTTGATCCCATCTTATCCAGGAGTACTGTTGATCCCATCTAATCGAAGAGTATTGTTGAATCGCTCTGACCCAGAAGTATTGTTGATCCCATCTAATCCAGGAGTATTGTTGATCCCATCTAATCGAAGAGTATTGTTGAATCGCTCTGACCGAGAAGTATTTTTGATCCCATCTGATCCAGGGGTATTGTCGAATCGCCCTGATCCAGGAGTAGTGTTGAATCGCTCTGGTCCAGGAGTATTGTTGAATCGCCCTGTCCAAGAAGTATTGCTGATCCCATCTATTCCAAGAGAATTGTTGAATCGCCCTGACCAAGAAGTAGTGTTGATCCCATCTAATCCAGGAGTATTGTGGATCCCATCTAATCGAAGAGTATTGTTGAATCGCTCTGACCGAGAAGTATTTTTGATCCCATCTGATCCAGGGGTATTGTCGAATCGCCCTGATCCAGGAGTAGTGTTGAATCGCTCTGGTCCAGGAGTATTGTTGAATCGCTCTGATCAAGGAGTAGTGTTGAATCGCTCTGTTCCAGGAGTAGTGTTGAATCGCTCTGATCCAGGAGTAGTGTTGAATCGAGCTGATCCAGGAGTAGTGTTGAATCGCTCTGATCCAGGTGAAGTGTTGAATCGCTCTGATCCAGGAGTAGTGTTGAATCGCTCTGATCCAGGAGTAGTGTTGAATCGCTCTGATCCAGGAGTAGTGTTGAATCGTTCTGATCCAGGAGTAGTGTTGAATCGCTCTGATCCAGGAGTAGTGTTGAATCGCTCTGATCCAGGAGTAGTGTTGAATCGCTCTGATCCAGGACTAGTGTTGAATCTCTAGGATCCAGGAGTAGTGTTGAATCTCTAGGATCCAGGAGTCTAGTGTTGATTCGCATTCTGCACAGAAACATGTAAGCTCTCTATGCGTGAATTAGTGTGCATGTAATGCCAGACAGGGAATGTGCGGTCTACAACCTGATAAACTCAAAAGGGCTATTGACATGTGGTACACTTAAGATCTCAGTGAGAGGTGACCAGTTTGTCTCACGAGACACAACACAAGGCCAGAGTCGATTAATCAGACATCGAGTCGACACCGCCAATCAAATTGCTGTTCACTCTCACAAGACCACTGAATTCAAGGCACTGACAGTTGATCTGCATGCTCGAGACTTTGTGTTGTAGCACCATTAACAAATCGACACATTCTAGGCAGACGTCGAGGGCGGTAAGAACGAAGCACTTTGGGGAAATAGACGATGAACTCGCGTGAACTGTTCACTCTGGACTTTGTGAAGCTGTGGATGTGTCTGGAGGCGTCCGAACGAAGGTCACGGAATTGTAAACGTTTGCTTGTTATTTAACGCCGCACTCACCAATATTCGAGCTATATGACGGCGAGTTTTGAGTTTGGACCTGACAATCCAGTGATTGGCATCATTAGATAGTTAGTTTTAGAAGGTTGATGAAAATGGCAGGGCTGACTGTATACCTATACTCTGTACATGAACATGTTCCCCGAGCCTCTCGCACGTGCACCTCGCACTTTACCGATTTGAGTTTTGACATGCGTATCGCGGGGCAAGTATACTATTCAATTTGGACCAATTCAAGCACTTTTATCAATCACCTTAATATGATTTGCCCATGTTCATTGGCCTATTATGAACAAACATAGCCCTGATCAAAACAATAGTAATTTCGCTGCCAAATCACAAGTACTGTGCACATACTAGAATGCATAGAGTAATATATTGTACGTAAATTGCAAAAACATATTTTTAATAACCGTAAAACCAGCAGTCCTGATGTAAGTAAATATTTAGTTGTTAATTTATCGTCATTCTGCCTATGTCGCCGTTCGAATCCCGCTGGCGACAAACGTTTTTTTATGAAATTGTTCCAACATCAAGATAAAAATATAGGGAAAACAGAAGTTCCGTCATTGCCAAGTGATGTTTACCTAAAAATTTAGTTGGTTAGACCACATTCGAAGACATCCTTTGTCTTTGCCATGGTTTAAAGCATACTCAATGCGGTTCTTGGTGCGGATGAATAAGATATTAATGAAGATTGATACGTATGAATTCAAATCGACTGAATGCTTGTTATAAAATGCTTGTGTTAATTGGGCATATCAAGTGCAAACAGTTTATGAAACCTGAATTAATGTTCTGTGCTAAATTTGATTTATTAGAATTAGAAGATGAAAATAATTTTGCACTAGTTTGCCCATATTACGAGAAACGCAGATACAATTTAATTCCTCGTTATTTTCATCATTGTCCATCAAGACAGGAATTTGCCATACCTTATGTCCCCTCCTAAATGCTAATACTATAAGAAGGTTTGCTCTTTAACGAGAAATCTGCTATTTAGAAATTACGTAATACACCCACCCGCCACTATCGTTTATATGAAATAAATTGTACTCTTGACCACGAGGCCTTCAATACTGAATAAACTCTTTGTGTTGTGTTGCTATAATACATAGAATTGAAAAGAGAACAAGGCTTGAGCCTCCCATAGAAATGTCATGTCACCATATTTAGGTTTTTGATATAATTGATACATCATATTTTCCTTCGCGCTGTGCACAGACGCCAGTGTTTGGCAGCCTGTCGGTAACTATGTCCTATCTGTTTTTTTGTTTTTGCAGGGACTATTCTCATTCACTCCGCCGTTGTGTGTGTGCTGTAATGCTCCTATTGAATAGAGCTGTACCCAACGTGCACACTCGCCTTTTCGTGGCTGGAATAAGAGGCCCCCAGCAGCCATTGACTCAAACAATCTACCACACACGCCCCTCTCCGCATCCATTGACGCACACAATCTACCACTCACGCGCCTAACTGCAACCTTTGACTCACACAATCTACCACTCACGCCCCTCTCTGCGACCATTGACTAAAACAATCTACCACACCCGCCCCTCTCTGCGACCATTGACTCAAACAATCTACCACACACGCCCCTTACTGCAACCATTGACTCACACAATCTACCACTAACTCCCCTAACTGCAACTATTGACTCACACAATCTACCACACACGCCCCTAGTTGCAACCATTGACTCACACAATCTACCACTCACGCGCCTAACTGCAACACTTGACTTACACAATCTACCACACACGCCCCTCTCTGCGACCATTGACTAAAACAATCTACCACTTACTCCCCTAACTGCAACCATTGATTCACTCAATCTACAACACACGCCCCTAACTGCAACCATTGACTCACACAATCTACCACACACGCCCCTCACAGCAACCATTGACTCACAAAATCTACCACTAACTCCCCTAACTGCAACCATTGACTCACACAATCTACCACACGCGCCCCTAACTGCAACCATTGACTCACACAATCTACCACACACGCCCCTCACAGCAACCACTGACCCACACAATCAACCACACACGCCCCTTTCCTCAACCATTGACTCACACAATCTACCACACACGCCCCTTTCCTCATCCATTGACTCACACAATCTACAACACACGCCCCTAACTGCATCCATTGACTCACATAATCTACCACACACGCGCCTAACTGCAACCATTGACTCACACAATCTACCACTAACTCCACTAACTGCAACCATTGACTCACACAATCTACCACACACGCCCCTAACTGCAACCATTGACTTACACAATCTACCACTAACTCCACTAACTGCAACCATTGACTCACACAATCTACCACACACGCCCCTAACTGCAACCATTGACTCACACAATCTACCACACACTCCCCAAACTGCAACCATTGACTTACACAATCTACCACTAACTCCCCTAACTGCAACCATTGACTCACACAATGTACCACACACGCCCCTCTCTGCATCCATTGACTCATATAATCTACCACACACGCCCCTAACTGCAACCATTGACTCACACAATCTACCACACTCTCCCCTAACTGTAACCATTGACTCACACAATCTACCACACACGCCCCTCTCCGCATCCATTTTCTCACACAATCTACCACACACGCCCCTTACTGCAACCATTGCCTCGCACAGTCTACCATACACGCGCCTTACTGCATCCATTAACTCACA